TAACTTTCCCGCCAAAACAGTCGCTCCGCCTCAAAGGTCAACTGCTGTGGGTTTGAATGCGATCAATTGTTGTGTGCTCGTTGATGCGGCCTGCGATGGATGCGATGATCGATGGAGAGAGTGCGCGCCTACACGTCGAGGGACTGTCTTCTCAAATTCGTCTGGCCGGCTAGGATGCGCAAACAAGCGAGCAAGTAGTGGAATAGATTTTCGAACAATGGCACGTGTAAAATGCAGTAAAAGTGTATTTAACCCAGGCTGGAGCGCACCGAGCAGGCTGATGCGATCATGCGTTTTTGCACCGGACTTGAATTACTCAGGTCATTAACTGTATGAATGGCTGTTGCTTTACACTTGCCTTTCGCGGTCACTAGTACAAATCACCATAAATTTTACATAAAGTAAAAGTGCGACTTCCGCTTAACGATCGCTGTTTAAAAATAACTTAGCTGTTCAGTGAGAAATTTTTCCGCCAAAACTTTTAAGTGCCCGTGTGCAGGAACCATGCATATTTCAAGGCTGAATTTGAAATACTTAAGTTGTACTTGGACAGGGGCACTTCCCCTGAAGCTTCAACTTTTTAGCTTTTCTGGTCCCCGAGTTAAAATTTTCCTGCAAAAACTTGCGCCCGTACGAAAGTACCACACATAGCCTGGGGCTGAATTTGAAACATTTGAGTTGTACTTGCACAGGGAACATTCCCTCAAAATTTCAGCCTTCTAGCTTTTCTGGTTACCAAGTTAGCAATTTTCCTGCCAAAACCTTCACGTACCCGTACTTGGGTACTCCACGTGCTTAGAACACTGAATTTGACATTTTTAAATTGCATATGGACAGGGAACATCTGCCTGAAATTTCAGTCTTCTAGCTGTTCTGGTTACCGAGTTAGTAATTTTCCTGGAGAAACTTTCATATGCCCTTACGTGAGTATCATGCACAGGTTAGGGCTGAATTTGAAATATTTTGGTTACACTTGGATGGGGAACATTCCCCCAAAATTTCAGCTTTCTAGCTTTCCTGGTACGCGAGTTAGTAATTTCCCCCCTAAAACTTTCATACGCCCTTATGTGAGTACCACGTATAACTGAAGACTGAATTTGAAATATTTGGCTAGTACATGCACAGAGGATACCCCTACAAAGTTTCAGCCCCTCAGCTCATGTGGTTCCCGAGATCGCTTTCCCGCCAAAAAATTTGC